CGCTATGAATATTTGATTCTTTTGTTCGAACTAACAGAATATAAGAAGAAAAGAAGATGAAAATCTAATTTTATTCCTTGCATGTTGATATTAAAGAAAAAGAAAAGATTGTATGGTAAATAAAGAGATTAGATAGTTCTTAAAGTTATTTTTGATATATATATTAGAACGTCACATTATCTATTGCGATTGATAGAAAAAATAATTAAAAAAAATATATATATATATATATGCGCATTCTTGATCGATGAAAATAAGAATAATTATTCATACCTATACAATAGTTTAAGGCATATAAATTCTAATGATTCTAAATAATATATAATTCAACAAAATATTTATTCAGTGCAGGGGTGGAAAAAAATATTTTGATAGGGGGCACCGCTATATTCTGGAATAGAGCTAATGATGAATTTTATATCAATTGAAAGCCCGTAAAAAATGGGATTTATTAGTACTAAATAATAAGAGTTATAATTCGTTTTTAGCGGGTTATAAGACGAAGAAAAATTAAGAAGAGTACTGTTCTAGTGATCAGAAGATGCAGTAAAGAATTTTGTATCATATTTAGGTCGAACTTGATCTTATCAATAATTTTTCTCACGCTTATGATCAACTAAGTTTAAACAACTCAACATACAAAAGTTTCTATAACCCGTATTGCTTAGTATCAATAAACCCCATTTTTCACGGGCTTTCATTCAGTATGAAACTCATTATTAACCATATCTGAACGTATAGCAGTACCCCCCCCCCCCCTATTAAAATATTTTTTCGAACCTAGTATATATATATAAGTGACAAAAATTTGAATTATTATCATAAGCGGAGGAATGTCCGTCTACAAATTGAAGAACCGAATGCATCACAAAAAAAGTTTATCATAGTGTGCAAAATAACGCACCGGAAGAAGTAATTTCGATTTTGGAAACAGTGCTATACGAGTAATGAGACTTGCGGAAAATACTATAGGAATAGAACGAATACTAACTCGATAGAAAAATGTAAATTGATATGGATAACGACGAACACTGCCAAGATCTTCATAAATAGTCGGTACAATTTTTAATAAATAATCATGTGATGCATGACTTGGTCGATTTGTATTATTAAAACGTCTTAATGGATGGAATGCTTTTCGATTTGGAATTTGTCGAAAACCCTATTGATTATAGAAATTCCATGAAAAAAAATGATGATGAAAAACAAAATAACAAACTTTAATTGTATCACCAAATGTTAATTCATGTATAACATGTTTCATATCACCATCGGTAGGTTGACTGCTTGCTGAATGTGTTGAAATATGAAAATTACCAGGTACACGATTGATTTTAAATGAAGCATTTATACGACAACCAGCACCATTATTTTCTGGTGTTTTCAAAGTATTATCAATAAATCCAACTTCATGTCGGCCAAGATCATCTTGTATATCAATACCCACATCTATCAATCAATTTTCTATGATATAAAAGAAAATAAATCAAAGCATTTGTCTTACATTGACATCCGATATTTAATACAGTAATATCAATATGTACTGGTATACGATCAGCATGGCCACTCTCTGGTATATCAACAAATAATTCACTTGCACTAATTAAATAATAAATTTTGATTTTAATAGAAAAATAAAAAGAATGATTTATTTACACTTCAGGTGTAATAAAATAATAAAGTTCAATAAGAAGTAATGTTGATACAAATGATATACAAGCAAGAGATATTGCTGCACCGGTATTAGTTGGTTGGGTTAGATCTTTTGGAATTTTTCGATAAATATCAAAACTAATAAAATGAAAAAAAAATTGAGTTGTGATAATGATTTTTCATTGTTTTTATTTACCGTCGAATATCAAATTGCATTTTTAATGCTCAGATCTAAAAAAAAAAGAAGATAAGATAAAATATTCAATAGTTCTGTAAATAACATAATATTATCGATCAATCCTCTTAGATTACACAGCATTTCATTGTATTAAAAAGTAAAAATTCAAACAATGAAATGAATGTATGTGTACTTTAGGTAAAATTCTCAGGCTTCTATCGTGTTAAATCTACATTGATCTTAAGCAAGCAAATAGTGAATAGACTATTCAAGGCTATCATTGGTTCATAGTATTATTAACATGAACTAGATGTCGACAGTATTCAACTTCATATACGTATATCGATTCGATATAAAATACAAAAACAGATCGTTGGTTTGTAAAGAAGACAAGGGAGATGTGTTCTGAGGATTGCAATGAAAATAATATAAGTTTGTTAAATCAGGTGTATCTATCTAAGTAAAAAATTCAAGTACATTTACTTTATGTATTCCGTGCTTGAAACATTTTTTCTTTGTGGTAAACTAAGTGATTCATTATACTCATTCATAAAACAACTGGTGTTCTTTAAAAAAACCCTTTCCGCAACATATGGCAATGGTTTGCGTGTTACCAAACAAAGCATCTTCAAAAAGAAAAAAGCTTTTTTTGCGACAATAGTTTCATTATTTTGAGTATACATAAAATATTAAACTAATGCCTTCTTTTGTATCATTCGTAGCAAAACAAAACAGCAAAGGCTATTATGTAGGACTATTTGCTACTTATAGTAAAATACACCACATCGTCATTGACGAAACAATCTATATAGTGAATCACATGTAGGAAATTTTTCATACCTGACTTAACAGCCCTACGTTACTTTCATTGAAATTTGTTTATTATTGAAGAAATACTTCATAATTATTGCTGTTATGCTATAATTACCATTTTAGACATATGAATGACAAAAATGAAGGATTTAATAATAGAAAAAGACTATACATTCATTATAACTTCAAGGCTATGCGTAGTTATTCAGTTAAAATAATTGATATTATATTCATTTCAAAAATCGACTTTTATATTTAAAATGAAACTAAACAAAAACAAACAAAATTTCCTAACGTTTTAAATATTCATCGAGTTTATGGCCCGCTTCTAATTGTCGTTCAATTTCAACTAATTTTTTAACACCATTAAGAATATGTTGAATAATTTCAACCTAAAATTCAAAAAAAAATAATTATTTTATTTAATAAATCAAAAAAACAACAAACTTCAGTTTTGCCAATTCGATCACGATTTGATATATCTATACAATCTTTAAATGCTTGTGGATCTGGATCCATGATTTCTTCCATTGTTAAATTAAGATCTTTGATAATTGTTGGTAAACGCATATCTTTTGTTAAATTTGGTAGTTTCAAAAAAATATTATATTTTAATCCAGTACCAATATTAGCTGGACAAGTTGTTAAATATCCAAAATGATCATCATGTGCAAATGATATACCTTCATTTTTCATTGAATTCTCTAACTAAATAAATAAAATTTCGGAATTCAAAAGTAAATTTTTCTTATTTATCAATTCATTACTAAGTTTATTCCTTGAAAAAAATTTGTTATGACTGCACGAAGATTATTTTTTGCATTATTTGTACTCCAACTAACAAATCTTAAATGATCTTTTTGATTAATCCAAGCAAATATATTCTTATCATTATTAACATAAATAGCTCGTCCATCAGGCCAATCACGGGCAATACCTGAACTAAGCCAACTCATTGTTTGTGGTTTAAATAAATAGACACCATCCTAAATAAAATATAGTAATAAAGAAATGTTAAATTCTATGATTGAAAAGATAGTTTCGATTTAGTTTGGATCGTACCGGGGAATATTATTCTCTTACATGGATTAATTTTTCTTGTACACGTTCGTCGGTTGTTGATAGACGATAATAATTTCCACTGAATTGATTATTTTCTTGAATTAATTGTTCAAATACTTTATTTAATTTTCCTTCAACACGACGACGTTCAGCTCGTGTTGAAAATGTTGGAAATGTATAACTTGCTAGATTACGTGTTATACGTATACGTGATGAGAGAATATATTTATTTATATCAAATGTAGTATCCGATTCAAATGGAAAATTAAGTTTAGTTATATCTACATCATGGTATTGACGTGAACCGGGTCCATAATTATATCGTATTTGAATTAATGGATCGAATAGATCGCTAAACATCTATTGAAATAAGAAAAACAAAGTAGCCTATTTTTGAATAATATAAAATAAGGAAATACTTTATATGTTTCTTCATCACCAGCTGAAACACCAAAATATTGACGACTAGGTACACCTGGATTATCAACACCCACTTGTATTACATCATCAATAGTATATCCAGATGGTGTAATACGATCACGAAGTTTAGCATACATCTATAATTCGAATATTTATAGTATTCGAATTTAATTTTTTTATCAATATCTAACCTGTGGTGTCAATTGACGAGCCATTAAATTTGAATGTTTACTTAGTTGAGGATATTCAGCTGATGCAGAATATCGTTTTAAATGTAAACTATATGAACTAGCATAATGTTGATTATGCCATAGATATCCAGCTGTAGTTAAACCAACAGATGAAACAATAGCAGCTAATTTCCATTTCTGTTGATTATTACCAAAATAAAGAAAAGAACGAAAGAAGTTTGAATAACTAGGCATATCTAAAATTCAATCGTACTATCATTTAGTTATAGATATTGTTTGTAATTAATCAGATTTTTCTCTATCGAATAGAAATTATAATTAAATTTATATTCTGTGTTATAAATCAATGATTTCTTTAAATTGTTATCGTCAAATTTTATTCAATGCATATTTAAATAAGAGACGATCTCAAAACATCTAATAGATCATGGAAGATTTCCATAGACTAAAATCGAGTCTCTCAATCAGACAAATTGCAGAATGTTTCGAAAGATGTCAGACATGTATAAAACTTATACATATATGTTCTGTTATTCTTGTGTAATCTATAAAATCTTGAAAGACCTATTATTCATATATTTTCTTTTTTGCTAAATAATAAATATCATCAAAGTTCACTTGTTATATACGCGACAACAATTTTATGTATAAAAAAAGAATGAGTCTATATATATATATATCACTTAAATATTTGATTCTTCATGTAATGTTTTCCATTGATTAAGATTTTCGATGGGCGAATAAATTATAATTCGAATTAATGTGACGATACCAAAAACAATGGCTCCAAATAAAACAAGGCCAATTAAAGTTACACCAATGATAAGTACTATTTTGATGAATTGTTGAATTTTTAATTGTTGTTCCAAATTTGAACTGAAATAATAAAATTTATTGATTAAATGCTATTTTAAAAGAAGAACTTACTCGAAAAATGGTTGATTTTCTCGAATATTATTTGAATATTTTTTAGTTTGTTGAGCTTGATGATTTCTAAAGTTAAAATCATGCAGACTTTTTTGTTAGAGAATATTTAGGAAATATATACATACCGATGAAAATTTAATTTTTTAGTATATGGTAAATGTGTTGTTTCATCGAATATAATTTTTCTTGAAAATGATAAATATAAATATTGACTATTAAATTATTTATTCACTTACGAAATACGATCATGTGAATTTTGCTTTACTATTTCATTGATATAAACTTCTTCAGTTGTTAGTTCTTGTATACCTTTAATCTCACAATATTCTCCTTGATCTTGATTTGAACATATACATTTAAAACCTTTTTCAATTGTAGGATCATCAACACATTGTCCTTCATTTTTACATAGGGTTGAATCAAATGTACAAGGTCCTAATTGAATTTAATAATTTATCAATTAATAAATAGTTGTTAAATACCTTTTTCACAAGCTGTTGTCAATGCATTATAAATAAAACCAGATTGACATCGCATTGGAATACTTCGACCTTCATTTCCACATATGATATACATATCAAAACGATTTATCACAGGTAAATAAGTTCCAGGTGGATGATCACGACAGATTTTATCTGATAAAATTAATAAACTATAAGGTCGTGATTCATATTAAAGATTTACCAGACTTATCTCTCGGTTTTATGAATGGTTCATACTGACAATCCACCTAGAATGAATTATATTTTAAGTCATATGTATATTTATTTATTATACTAATTCAGGAGCTGAACACATGAATGTTTTTGGATCGAAATGTAGTTGATTTGGACATTTATATATTTCATGATGTTTATGTTTACGACAATAATGAAATAAAGAACAATCGAGTATATCAGCATAGATTCCAATTTGAGTACATTGTGATACAGATGATTTTCGTCGATAATAAGAATTATAATCTATTGAAAAGAAATCAAGATGAATTTTTATTATTAATTCATTGATTTATATTTACCTCCAACAGATTCAATAAATGCAAAACGATTTGTATCCATCATTTTCTGAAGAATTATTTCACATTTAACTTCGTTTTCCTGATAATGGAAGAAGTGTAAAAAATCGAAAGTGATCATCAACGACTTACAATGAGGATAGGTTGACATTGACCGTTACTAGGATTGAAAAAGAATCCATCAATACATGTATAAATAGTATGACTATTGAGAGTACACATATGAAAGAGTGAACAATTTGTTGAATGAGCATAGAGTCCATTTTCAACTGGACATTCTTGAAAATTCGGATCATCATTTGATATAATCAATGGAATTGGAAAAATACTTCCTATTAATTATAGTTCAAGAAATGAAAGACAATTACTTTTTTGCTCTTACCATAGTTTGATTGAGATAATAAATTATTAAATTGTAATAAAATAATGCAAATAGTAATAATAATAAGTGTATACATCCTCTATTTCATATGTCTATATGAATTAAAAAATTGTAACAACGAAATAAATAGTAGTATTGGTCGCGCTTGGTTTACTCGCATACAATTAGTTGTCCTTTCATACATAATGCAATGTCTCGGTACAATATTTTTATTTATACAATCTCAATAAAGTGTACTTTATCATCGATCTAAAGTTCAACTGTTTAATTGCTTGATAGTGTACTTATTCTCTTTCTTCTTTCTTTATGTTGCATACACATAAATATTTGACAAACAAATTCATATTAGAAGCTAGTCGATTTATATTAGATTAAATAATTCAGTTGGGATGATTTTATGCTTGTAAAAATTCTGGTTGTTAATCTTATCAACTACATTAAGATTACGTTAAAATACGCCTATGTAATATTATTGATAATGTTTCATCCGTAGCGTCTCATCCATATTATTTGTCTATCGTCTTCTTCGTTCTCCTCTCTTACTATTTATACTACTACATTTTTTTATGAATAAGAGACAAGAGAAAGATAGAATAGATGAACAAGAAAAAAAAAGTTTTAACATTGACTATAGTATTTGTAATCAGTATTTAATAAGTTCAATGTATGACAACACATAAGAGTAATTAAGGCGAAGAGCTGACATAGACAGATGATACTTAAATTAAGACAAGTTCATGAAACAAATTTAATTCATATTTAGAAATTGTCTATAACCGAGCATTCATTTTTTTTATTATAAAACGTCTAGAAGAAGAAGAAGACATGTAAATGGTCAGACTCTTCTATACAATTATTCAGTACCTGTTCAGTGTTTTTAGATGCTGGGTGTCAACTCTTATTTCCTTGGAATAATATGTATATAATGAAGTGTATGTCATTGTACGTATTACAACAAATTTAATCAATAGATACGATAAAAATTGATGTAACTAAAACATTATTTAAGTATACTTAAATTTTGAAGGAAGGATGTATCGTGCTCATTTGTCTTTAATTCTTCTCACATAAAAATAGGCAAAGATAATATTTTTAATAGATGAATACTAGATCCATGCTTTTCATTGTTTTTCTAATATTTACGCACATTTTAATTCATACATAGTATAAATTTCAACAATAATAAAAGAGAATAATGTCGATGTAGAAATAGCAGATATATCACTAGGCGACGTTCTTGTCCTCTTGCTTCCAGGTTCTTGCTTTTCTTGATTTTCTGACAAGATTCTTGTGTTAAGGCAAGATTCTTTTCGACAGGAAAGTAAAAGAATCATACAAGAATTTTCAGTTGACAAGAATCTTGTCTGAACAATCAGAAATAAAAGAATCAGGCAAGAATTATAAGATATTCAAGATATGTTAATATTCAGACAAGAGTCTTTTCTTCTCTTTCAAAAGAATCTTGACTGAAGTTCATGATAAAAAGAAGCTGGAAAGAAACACAAGATATTTTAAATTTCTTACTATTCAGACAAGATTCTTGTAACAGAAAAGCAAAAAATATTCTTGCCAGCTTTCGAAGATGAACAGCACGTGATATGGTCTTTGTTTATCACATATATAAAA